TTTTCTTAGTTCTCTATGCTTTTACATCTAAAACAATTTTTATAACATAACTTCTTATATTTTATCTTTTCTTACCCATTATTATTTCACCATCAACTATTTTTTTTTATAAAAACTTTTTCTTTTGATTCCCCGAGTACATCTTTTATTACTAGTTTAATAGTGTTTGTTACTTTATCCTACATAGCATTTGTTTCTTCATAAACATTCCAAATTTGAAATCTTGAATTTTACTCAAAAAAAATTTTATTTGTGACTTTTAGGTTCCTCCATCTAATTTTACAATGATGAGTTCTAGTATTCAAATCTAGAACTAATAATCGATATTGGGTACTTAAATAATCACTTGAAATGACCTTACAATCTTTACAATCTCGACGATCTCTTCTTCTCATAAGAAAATAATCAATTTGTGTTTTATTAGATTCACTCTTATAAGTAATAAGATGTTCATCTCTTTTCTTGAATAAAGTATTAGTAATAACAAAATCATAAGCTAAAGAAAAATCTAAAATGACTCTACGTTCTTCATTATTCACTCCAAAACCGTAGCCACCATGAATATTTATAAAACTTTCTACCACTCTACCGACATGTCCATTTAAATCTCCTCAAATAATATTTTTTCTTTAAGAGGTATCACTTATATTAAGTCTGCTAAGTGATTCCAGAATTTATCTTTAGACCTTATATCTAAACCTACTTGAGGAGCATAAGCACTTATAATATTAAAAATCTTAGTATCAATGATAATCTTAAGGGTTATAATACTATCCCCAACTCCATTAATTCTTACAACATTATATTTCAAACTCTTATCTATAATTACACCTACACCATTTCTAGTGTGACTCTTACAATAATACCAAAGCTTAAAACCTAAGTTATCAATCTCCTTAGCCTTTTCTCCAACCCATTTAGTTTCTTGAATACATAAAATATTAATCTTTCAACGAATTATAATATCAACTAATGAACATAAAATTTATTAATGAGCATAAAATTATTTTTAACTATTAATTGTAAGGATCAAATTTTATACTTCTTAAATCAATTAATTTTATGTCTCATGAAGTATAATATTGACAAATTAACCAACCTATTATTTAATTAAAAAAATAAGGTGACACGTACATCTAAAAACCTGTGGCATACATTAAAAAAGAAACTTTGAAAACCATCTTTTGCCTTTAAAAACTTCATCGAACCTTCAATTAAAATAACGAAATGGATTTTCAAAAGAAAAAATGCGATGGGTAAAATAGTGAATGTAGTAGACAAATCCACCCCAGACGCAGAACACGGGATGCGGGCCGCGGTCACGAGGGAGAAGAAAAGCAACCGTGAGTTATAATGCAATGCTAGGAAGCACGAATCAAATGCCTGATTCGGGAAATTTGTTTTCAAAGTTGTCTGGAAAGCTCAAACAAATGCACTCTAAGTAGATGGCCTTAAATGTCTTATAAACAAAAAAAAGTTTCCTTAATTTAATCTTATGGTTTGTATGAAATTTTAATTGCTCCAGTTTTGTGCATTGCACTTTATCGGACTTGTTGAAGAAAGTTGATATTTCAATTTAACAATGATACCAATTTCATACAAAAGCAACCGCGAGTTACAATGCGATGCTAGGAAGCACGAATCAAATGCCTGATTCGGGAAATTGGTTTTGAAAGTTGTCTGGAAAACTCAAACAAACGCACTCTAAGTAGATGGCCATAAATGTCTTATTAACGACAAAGTTTCCTTAATTCAATCTTATGCTTTGTATGAAATTTTAATTGCTCCAGTTTTGTGCATTGCACTTTATCAAACTTGTTGAAGAAAGTTGATATTTCAATTTAACAATGATACCAATTTCATGTGCAGATCCCACTTAGTGGGACAAAGGCTTGTTGTTGTTTTTGTTATACCAAAATCAACTTGATGCATTCTTGAGCAAGGATCACTCATCTTATTTTTCTCAATTTGTTGAACAATTGAGAAAATCTAAACTGAGTTAGTTGAACTCATCAAATAAATAGGCTTAGGACCTAATGAGATGGGAGTTCTATTACCCTGGTCATTTCGATAGCATATTGGGTAATAAAGTTGACAGTGAATCAACCATAATTGAGTGTGTTAAGTCCAACCTTTTTGACCCGCTTAAATACTAGACCTAAACTATAGGCATTCATGGCTTTTTTAACTTGATTTGTTAAAACTTACTCAAAAATTTTATTTCTTAATTTTTAATATCATTGAGCTTACATGCTTACAAATCTTCTTGCATGGTTGTGAGGACCCATCCTTGAATGACAATTGTCTCTTTGACTTTTTCTTAATCCCTCAATTAATTCAGAAAATCTTCTCGATTTTGGTCACTTGAACTCATCAAATCAAATATATTTAAAACTTGATCCTCTTATAATTAAACCGACGAAATGGAGGCCATATTATTGCTCATGTTCTTATGGTGTGGTAAGAGAATTGTCAACAACTCGATGATATTTGAACACATTCGGTTTGACCTTCTTGACCCATTTGAGCCCTTCTTGACCCATTTGAGCCATATAATTGAGCTATAAACGAATTATGTTTCACTAACTCAGTTTGTTAGAGCTTGCAAGCTTAGAAAATCTCTTTTTTTCCTCCAAGGTCTAGCAGATTGTATATATGAGAATCTCCTTACATAGTTGCATGTGTGTTTTCTTGAATAAGAGTTGTCTCTTTAATTTTATATTGACCCAATGACCAATTAAGAAAATCTCTCAAATCTAAGCCGCTTGAACGCATCAAATCAGAAAAACCCAAAACTGGGCAACCTTATAATCATACTGACAAAACAAAAGTACTCTTACTGCAGACAATCAATGACTTCTTTAGTAAAAAGAGTTGTTAATTACTCGGTCATATTTAAGTGAGTTGAGTTTGTGCTTCTTAATCTGTTTGAGCCTTAAACTTGAGTAATAAAGACTTGTGTTTCCCTACTTGCAGGATCAAAAGTCCTCTCACTTGCCTTTAGAATTTTGATAAATCGAGAAGACAAACTTTAGCTTTAATATTATCATAGATATACTTCGAAAGCTGATGTGTTTTCGCTTATGCCACCAGGCCTGACTTAGCGACACTAGTTTTAGGTATCTATTTAATATAAAAATTTTAAAAATGTCTCGCCATAAAAGAGTAATAAAATCAATTAATAAATATAAGACTTTGAAAGTGCTAGTAAAAATTAATGATATATTACGTGTACTTCTATGATCAATATCAAAGATCTGATGCCAGCAAGAACAATGAATATGTCCTCTAATATGATAATTCTACTATCAAAGACATCACAGAAAAGTATGGTTATGGATAAGCATGATTAGGTGGTTCATTAAAAATGATACCATTAAATTACAGTGACGAACAAAGCTCACAAATTTCCCATTGGCCCAAATCTCCCGAGTGGAAAATCATGATGTGCACTTGATAGCGCATGAATTGACTTATAATTATTCTCTCAGACAGTTCTATATCTCAAGTCTATAAAGTTTAGAGAAAAACAAAACCAATGATTGTTGAAAAAGATCTATTGGTCAAGTTGAATCAACTACCTCCACCATCAAAATATACTGGTCCATTGTGATATGAGATAACATAATTATAGGATTTTGATCAAATTCATTATAAACCTCCTGCCCGCATTCACTATAAGCTAAAGGTGATAAATTTTATATAATCTTAAACCAAACTACTAGTACTATAAGGAAAACATTCAGCGCTTGTTAAATAGCCTTGATTGAAAATTCTTTCACATGACCGAGAGGGATAATTAACCATGGGAAATTACACCCATGAAAACTTGAAACTAGATCATAAAGTCTACACAAAATAAGAAAAAAATAATGGATAGTATTTTATGTGAAATTCAATCTATCTTATGAAAAATTGACTCCGAAGCACAATCTCTCTTAGAAGAGTTGGACACAATTTTTAGAGACCATAAGATCCTTAAAGAAGGTGTCTAAAATGGCATAAAATGGTTAAAACACTTTTAAATAATACTTTTACCAAGTGAGACCCCTTTTGACAAAGAAAAAGAGGATGATAGTTTCAAAATGTAAATTGTTTTAGCGAATGTGAAATCGATGATCATTTGTTAAAAATCAAATAATACTTATATATATATAGAAGCCCATTTAATCTTTTAAGCAAAAAAATTAGAATATAGATGGGAACATGCCTTGAAGGAAAGAGAGAGAAATGCTTACATTAAAAGTATGGTGGGGATAACACTAGTTAAAAATAGCCTTAAACGATTTGAGCATGTAAAATAGAGGTAGATATTTAGTAATAAAGAAAGTACATAAGACCAAGGAATGAAAGAGTGATCATATAGGATGGTTGGATTTTGTAAAAACAGGTGTAAAATAGAGATAAACACATGTAACACCCAATAGAAATGATATATATATATAAAGTGTCAGAATTTCCAAGCAAATATCATTGTAAGACCTCAGTTGGCAGTTGAAATCAAATATCCATTGTCTGATGCTTGATCTTGATTTTTTTTACTGTGTGGTAACTCTTAAAAGAGAGCAGTACTGTAATAAGTAATTTTAATTGAGAAACTTTAGCAAGAGAGCAGTACTGTAATAAGTAATTTTAATTGAGAAACTTTGCTAATATGCTTGGAACTGTAGGGCTGAGATAGAATGTTATTCAATGTAATCTTTGTGAAGTTTGCAGTTCAGCGGAAGAATTTTCATCAGTAATTTTACCTGATCCTAGCAATTATCCTACCGTCCTCTTCAATCCCACAATAATAGGAAAAAAAAATTAGAGTAGGGTTTTATTAAAAAGTCAAAAGTTCTAAAAAAATTTCTCAATTTATTGATTTTAACCCATCCATTGGTCTTATTGCCGCAGTTAAACAGTGATCGTTAAGATACAGACTTAATGAGTCTTTAACAAGCAATTAATGATTTATTCACTTCTGAAAAAATGAAAAGGATAAAGGTACTAAATCATACCTGGAGATGGTTTCTTAATAGATTCATTTTGCACAAGAGACCATTCTTCCTCTAATCTCTGAACCATCACGTCCAAGGAATTCTGAGCACAGAACACGGAACAATGGAGACAAAGTTTACCTTGTCATTGATTCAATTTTCAAGTCATTTGGAAAAAAAAAAAAGATGAAGGAAACTAATGGAGAAAGAGCAAACTAATTCTGCTTTCTTTTCTTCTAATTCTTCTGATTTCACACCCTTCAAATGTTCATCCAATAGATCAACCTGTTCGGCATAGTTAGAACCACTTTCTGCTACTATGGATTGACTCGACCTCACCTCAGCTTCTATTTTTTCCAGGTTTTCCTTTAAATCCTTTTCAATAAAGTCTAGCTCCTACAAGCAAGCAATGTGTAAAGCATGCACATGTTCCTAAAAAGTAGAAATATTAATGAAAATAGGTGTTGCCAGCATTTCCACAATTTTAACATAAATCATAAATCATACACATCTCAGCAAAGAATAAAAGTAGGTGTTACCAGAACACATAGTTCTCACCTTCAGTCTAGTTTGGAGCTCATTAGATTCATTCTGTTTTTCTTGATTTTTCTTCTGGCAATTTGATATAACCTTTTCATATGCAGCATTTTCATCTTGGACAGAGACCTCTCTTAATTGTGCCTAGGTAAATGATCAAGAACTTAGATGAATTCAGGAAATAAAAGAGCATATAAGAGAAAAAAACAAGCAAAATAGTAAGAAGATAATAGACAGATTTGAGCTTTTTATGAGCAATAACATTATCGCCATCAAAAGCAATAATAAGCAATCATAAAAGTAAAGCAATACTGATCATTTTTATTTTCATTGCACCATGTATATCAGAGGGAAATATTTAACACCTGAAAGTCTGTCCAAAATAAGTTGTGCTTCTGGTTCAGCTAAGTATTCATATAGATCGGCTGGAATTCTTTGTGAAACATAATTCTAGATATGTTGAGAAAAAAGTAAATATTTTGTCTAATGTTGGGGTAATATAATTATTTTTAATAATAAAAAAGTTTGACAGCAACTTACTTGCACCTTTCACATTTTAGCAAATTCAGTTGTAAAAAAGTGCTTCTCCCCGCAAAAATTCTAAAAACAGTGAGAAAGTTGTAGCCAAACAGCACTTTGGAAGCAAAAAGCAAAACTATGAAAATCAGCCCCAAATGGACGGCTAAGAGAAAAATCCAATTGGGGCAGCTGTGGTGATCAGTTCAAAATAGATGTAGAACCAAGCAATGTTTTAAGCTTTAAGCTGAGGAAAAGCTGCCCCATACAACTATCACATGTTTAATTATTGAGGTTTTATTAAAAATCTAAAATCTCGACACTGTCAATTTTTTCTTACCCTTATAATTTGCAATAAAAATAGAGAATGTTGTATATTTAGATTGTGTATGAAGAAAAATCTTAAATGTAGAAAACATAAACTAAACTCACTCTTATTTCTAATATAATCATTCCAATATAGTTGGATGGGAGCGTTTGACAGGGAAAAATCCTAAATACATGCATTGCAATGCCCTAGACAAGATATCAAGCAAGGCAATCACTAAACTGAAATCATTTGCCGTCCTTCAAAGGCATAAAATAGATAGTTAAAACTTCTCCTTTAACAAGTATGATCTTATTTTCAAAATGATAAGAAAGCACAATACAGTAAGAACTTTCAGGAAAGAAAAAAAGAAACAATAAGGATAGGTAAGAAGAGTGTCACGAGTTGTCAAAGATAAGCAAACAAAGAATGGGATGAGCAAATAGAATACTGTGATGCGCAGTTAGAAAAATGGAACTAATTCCACAACGTGAAATGGTTGAATAAACAATCTAAAGGCAATTAATCCACCATATACAGACTCAAAATAACGAAAGCAGATGACCATTAAGAAGTGTGCAGGTACTGAATTCTTTGAAGCATTGGTAATCCACTTAATCCCATTTTTATTTTTACTAAAAAAGGGATAGATTTACCAATCATTAATAAAAGAACTCAAGCTCAAGAAGTTCTCTGGATCTTTAAATAAATGTCAAAAGTTCAAATAATGCTTGGAAATTTCTTTAAACTAAATATTCACTAGTTCCAAAATCCATTGCGTGCATGAGCTTAATTCAATGATAATATATATGATTAAAGATATTCTAATTGTTTACACTCAGAGATTTCAAAATTAGATTGCACGAATTTTGGACCTGAAGCAGTACCAATCAAATAAATGGATAATCAATATATTTGATAGAAGATCAAGAAAATTAAGAGATGATCGAGGGCATAAAGAGAGCTTGAGACTATATTTTTAGTTCTAGAGAGTCCTTTCAACAATTAGGTTTGTAATTGCAAAATGAAGGCTCAAACTCAAGCTTCTAAGAAGGAAATCCTATAAATATTAAAAATTAAATTAATTTAAATCATTATATATATCATAAACTTAAGAAATTTATATTTTGACTATTCTAAAAATATTAGTAAGTTGAGACATATTTTAAATTTTTCTATATCCTGTTAGTTTAATTTATATTAATTTATCAAAAATTTAGCAAATCATCTAGTCAAAAATAACGAGTTTAATTTGTATAACAATAAACTTCTTTAATTGTCTTTATTTTGATAAATTTACATCATTTTATATAATTAATATATCGCATTAAAAATTAACAAAATAATCCATCAATTCTTAATCATGTTAATTAAAAGTAATAAGCTAATATTTTAGACTTTAATTCAATATAGACAGTTTTTATTTTAATTAAAATTTTTATGATAACTTAATCACATATATGTGTTTCTACATAAAATATTTTAGATTTTTTTAGATCATTTAGCATTTAATAGTTCATACAAATATTTAAAAATTGGAAGATGAAGATGTACATACATACCACTATGTACATACATACCACTAAATTCCTGTGTATTTACATATCTAACACCTAAACATTGATTTTTACATACATGTCACCTTATCTGTGCATAAAAAGGTGTATTTTACTTTTTAAATATTAAAATGCTGGTATTTTTATATGATATGAATGTTTTGGGTGGTGTAAATGTAAAAAGTAAAGTTTAGATGTTAGATATGTAAATACATAAAACTTAGGATGGTATGTATATAAATGCCCCATAAAAATTAGTATTTTTACAAAAAAGACATTTCAAAATGAAAGAATTTAGACTTACTTTCTATTTCATTCGATTCACTAAATTTTCGAAATGTATGTTACTATGCTACATGATACCTTCGATTAAATATGAATTTGTATAATTTTAAAAATTAGTCATTTTCAATAAAATTTAGGATTAATTTGGAGGATTTTGACAATTGTAGGAGCCACTTTGACTAGCCTTTATTTATAAACATTTTGAGAGCATTTAAAGAAAATATTGTATATACTTTGCCCATAAATAGAGGGAGTTGTGGTTAGTTTGAGAGAAAACAAATGCTTATAAAAACTTTCTTACACTTCCACTCTCCCAACTCTTCAAAATTATATTCTTTAAGAAAATTCAGAGCTAATCCTAAGCTTCTAAAGCTTGAAGCCATTCAAATCTACTTCAATTGCAAGCAGTTTTAAAGTTATTCGAGCGATCCCAAGGATCTGAAATATTGCTCTTAAAGTTTTTAAATTTTAGTTTTATTTTCTATATTTTTGTTAGACTAAGAAGTTAGAACCTCATATTTTCTTTTATATTTTCTTATAAGGATTTAGAAAAATTTTGTAAGCAAACTGTAACATTTTTTTATAAACTTGGTTTTTGGTTTGCTCTTGCCTGTCAGGAAATATACGATATAAAGCCTTTCTCTACCCCAAGAAAGAGGAGATCTTGTAGTAGTAGGCATAGAGGTCTAGGCGAGAATGCAGGCAAGGGCTGAATCTTGTGAGAAATTATATGTGTCGTCGCTTACTAATTTTCACTAAAATTTTTTTTTGAACTGTACATTATTTCTAAGAAATCAATTAATTTCACCCTGTTAAATTTTTATAAGTCCGCATTATTTTCAAAAAGCAAAAATTCACCCGCCTCTTGGTTATATCATACATTTCAATTGATATCAAAGTCTCAGCTCTATCTTTTTGACTTAACCACAAATATTAAATCCGCTCACTAAATTAAAATATTCTCTTTAGCAACAACAAAGGTCACTCCGCCACGAAGTCTCCATTTTTTGATAATCTATCATTTGATTATTGAAAAAATCACATAAGTCTATCCTTAAGAGAATAAGATCCTCACCTTTGGAATATAACAACCATAGAATATAAAGCCCCCACTAAGATACCATATGATGTAAAAGTTGAAAAATCATTTTCAAATGGACTCCTGCCAAGGCAGAACCTAACGAATAAAAGTTCCAAGGCCGTAAACAATTTATATTGCGTTCTAAAATCCAATGATAATATGAGAGTTTCCATGCTTAAGACTATAATGGATATTTAGGATAAACGCATAATAAAATATGAAGAAACTACTGAAGTAAAAAATGCAAATATTAGTAAATTAATTTAGGAATTTGAATTATTTCAAATGAAATCTAATGAGCATTTTAGTGGTACGCATATGAAATTTATGAATATTATAAATTCATTGCACTAATAGGTAAAATATACAGGAACATTAATTTGATTCAGAAGATTCTTCGTTTTTTTTTCTACGGAATTGAATCCAAATATAACTACAATTATGAAATTTAAGGATCTTTCTACTTATTCACTTAATCAGTAGCTCGATTTTCTTAACTCATGAAAAAGCAGTAACGATAAAGGAAAAAAGAAGAAATAAAAAAACAAGAGTGGTGGCTCTACAGGTTGAAGATTCAAAGATATCTGCATCAAAAAGTGACGGAAAATCGGATGGGAGAGCCAAGTTATATTGAATACTAAAATTCATGCTAAAGAAAAAGTATATGAGGTTTGAAAAAAAATAAAGCTGATAAATTTAGAGCTAACAATGCTTCTGCAGGTGATGGAATAAAATATTTTCATTGCAAGAAACATAAGCACATTAGGCAAGATTATCCATAATTGGTTGTTTCAAAGAAAATAAAAGAGAAGTGAAATGTACGAAAGAGAGAAAGCATAACAGGAATAAGAAAAATAAAAAGAACATATGATGAACTAGGTAAGATAATGATAATAGAACTTCTTCCTCCACAAATTCAGAAAAGAAGGTAAATCTGTCTCAGCTATGAGCAAGTAAAATTCTTAATGAAGAATTTATTAATATAATCTTAATTTGTTCAAGGAATACCTAAATTAAAGCAAGAAATGTTATATATATATAGACACACACACATATATATAATCAAAATATTCATTTTCATGAATAATAACTATAGTATCTTAAGAAAAGTCAATTTATTATCATGCTTTATGAATCTTTGGAAAAACTGGATATTTTATTGTAGACGATTAAATTTTCTTTCAACCCCTCATTCTAGCACAAAAAATAAACACAAGCATGCATACCAGAAGATCCAATGCTAGAAATTATTCTTATCCTCGTGCTCATTATACATATCATTACACTCAACATAATTACCACCCAAGCCCATATGCAAATATCAATGTTTGTTGTAAATTTTATGGTAAATAAGAATACACAACCAAAAATTATTATGCAATACATGCACAGTTTGATG